ATACTACATTGTTCCATTTTATATTTAAAAATCGCGATTCGCAGTTCACTTTTGATCTGAAACATTTAATAATGTGAAGCTAAATCGGCTAATCTATACCCGAAAACCTAATGGATCCGTCGTAATTTAACTATTATGCTCGAGCGAATGTAGTCGAACAAGGAATCAGAAGTTTGAATCACTTACTCGGCTCGTCGACGTCGCCAAGGAAAACTTCCGCCGCGACAAACCAAACCATCGTGCTCATTACTAGAAGCATCCCCTTCATCCTGGGACTTTATGCGTCCGAACGAAGGACGAGTAGTCCTGGCAAGTCCCCTGCTCGGATATCTCCGTCTTTAACTCCAGGATAGCAAGTTGCCCGAGATGGCCGATAAGTTCCCAGGGAATCTAATTCTCTGATAGCTCGAAACTCCGCTTTCAGAACCGATTCTCGCCCCCTCTCTCCCTTCCTCTCTCGTCTTCTCGACAGCTACGTACCCGTTGTGGCACGCCGTCGCGCGAACTTCACAGTGCACTCGCTACTTTCCTTGTAACTTCACACTGCGGTACCCGTAGCTGCGAACTTTTTTCATCAACCGGATGACACGAACAGCGTCAACGTCGACGCTGATAACTGATCACCGACCTAACGATGAGTAACCGCGAATAATCCTTTATAATCACGCCCGCGCGTCAAAACTGACGTACGACAACGCATGGACGTGGATGATTCATTCACGAAACGGCCGTGGAAGAATGTGTCTCGGCGAGGGGTGTCCGTGCTTTTTTTAAAGTCCCACCCCTTCTCCGCGCGAAAACGTCTTCGCCGTTATTAACGGAGCTACTCGATCGTGCCAGTCCTACACTCCGCTCACGGTCCATTAACGCCCGCTTCATACGCGGCTACGCCTCACATGGCTTTCCGTCATCGTTCACCGATAATGACATAACGCCGGTCTTTTTTAGCTGGCTCGCTAGTTCGCGTGGGACGTCGAGTCCGTTGCGATACAAATAGACGCCCTCGACGATGTCGCTGACGATAACGCCGAACCTAACCGATGTCATTTAGGATCCATCAGATGCTATCGCGTCGTAGGGTGCGTACGCTGTCGTCAGAGCCCCGGCTTCATGGTACATCATAACGCGTTCGAGTTGTTTCACATCCGGTGAGAACTTACATCCGATGAGACTATTTCAGTAGTTTCCTCGCGACGGAAATTACTCAAGTGAAACTAAAGACTTCCACCTGGGAAATATATTCACATCTCGCCGACCGGTCGGTTCTATCTTCGTTACTTTTTAAATAGATTTATTCTCTTATGAGTCCGAAGAGAATTTAATGATGAAACGTTAGATTCGGTCACTTTATGTATTTGCGAGATACGTCACAGGATAATTAACAAGAATTTCTTCTTACAATTTCGTCCTTGACTAAACATTTAAATCACTGGTCTTCGAAGTAGTTCAGGGTCGTTCACTAAATTCTTATTCACAATTAAGAGCTTTATCGAAACGCTTGAAAGTCGAGGATAATCATTTCTAATAAAGTATTCGATCGTATCTAATTACACTTGATTACTCAAACAGTCCCAGCTTTTATCCTCCATTCATCACGATTACGTTGAACTTTAAGGAGAAACCGTGCGGC